CAGCAGTATTAGCAGTACTAGGAAGGGTCTGAGCAGCAGTACTAACAGTAGGCAGTCTAGCAGCAGCAGTAACAATGTTAGCTGTAGTAGGAAGCGCAGTGGTGGGAGCAGGAGCACTAGCAGCCGAAGGAGTACTAATACTAGCAGTAGCAGCAGCAGTCGTCCCAACACTAAGGGCAGTACTGCCAGTACTATCCTGGGAACTTGGAGTCTGTGGAGGTCACCTCCCTTAGCTCTGCCCAGCTGAGGGGACTGTTGGAGCAGCTCCAGGCAGTCCTTCACATGCACTAGGAAAGGTGGTCGTCGGCCCATCCCCCTTGGCCCACCAGAGGACAGTTCCTCCACCCTCTCTTCCCCTACGTCCCAGTACCTTGAGAATCCGGCGTCCCTGGATGCCTAAGGGGTCCTGGTGGATTTTGATCATGAGTGGATTCTGCAGGATGTCTACGTCCTTAGCAGAAATGGTCCGCAAATCCGTGGACATGAAGAGAGGGGCCGCCAGCACTGTCCACAGGGCCATCTGGGACTGGGCTTCCTCAAAGCTGAGGCCAAAGTTCCCAATGAGCAACTGTCAGGCAAAAAGGGGCGCTCAGATTTGCCAGAGGTCAATGGAAGAGAAGACAGGGTGGGGAAAGATGTCCAGGCTGGGGGTCTGGCTCAGAGACCACCACTCCCACAGTGTGGCCTTGTGAGAGAGCTGCATCACTTTGATCCGAGTCTGTTTCGTTTGTTTTTAACCCAGAAACGGGGCAGTAATGTGCTCTGGAGTGGGACATGCTCAGATGATTGGGCTGAAAGCATTTCTAAACTAGGACTCAGCACAGGTGGAAACATCCACCCCAGGTGGCAATGGTGGGGAACCAGACCTACACAGAGTCCCTCCTCCCATCACCCCAACCTGCCCCAACCACAGCTGACTGGACCAAGAGGGGGCCAAGCCACAGGTGGAATCCCAACCATCTCCACAAATATAACACTGGTAAGCTGTGAGTCAATTCCATCTCCTGGCCCGCCTCCCACGTGTGCCGAGACCTGCTCCGTGGGGTTTCCATGGCTACGACCTACAGGAAGCAGATTGCCAGGCATGTCTTTCGAGGTGCCTCTGGGTGGGTTCAATCCTCCAACCTTTCAGCTCCTCATCAAGCATCTGTACCACGAAGACTCATGAAGTACTCACTCATCACAATTTAACAATGCAATTCAGAGGGAAATAGTATAGCATGTTACTATTTCCAGCTGAGGACTCAAGATTCATGGGAAGAGAGGGACTGAGAGCTGGAGGCCAGGAGGCAGACTTGCAGAGTGTGCCCTTTGGTCATGTAGATTATTATATATGCCTGAGTGTTATAAAAAAAAACCCAACTAAATCCAATAGCGAGAAATACTGTTAACTGATGGTACATGGAGGGGATTATAATCATTGTAATGAAACAAGGTGTATGATTTTGTTGAGTGTAAAACTGATGATCTGCCCTGTAAACTTTCATTCAATTCACAATAAAAATTAAAAAACAACAACAATGCAATTCAGACGTGCCAGACACTGTGGCAAGCATTGTAAAGGGTTATCTCGCTGACTCCTCAGTACCACCCTGTAGCAGGTAGCCTGTTCTATTTCCATTTTTCTAGGATGGAACTGAGGCACAGGAAGCACCTGAGTGACCTGTTCACAAGAAGTGACAAGAGCTTGAGCTAGAACTCCATCCCACTCACAAGGACCGTGTAGAACAGACAGGAACTGCCCCAGAGGTTTCCGAGGCTGTCAATCTTTAGGAAAGCAGACGGCCTCATCTTTCTACAGAGAAACAGCTAGTGGGTTCAAAACACCAACCTTTCGGCTAGCAGCCTAGTGCTTAACCCACTGCACCACCTGAGTTCCTTACAGCTCCTAAGCAGGCTTATTCCATTTCTGCAGGCTTGTATTGGTCACAACTATGGAGTCTTGGTGTGGCGCTGTGGGAAACGACTGGACTGCTAACCGAAAGGTCGGCAGTTCGAACTCACCAGCTAGCTTATTCCTTGGGAACACTGTATCAGGGGGCTATGAGCTGGCACCCACTTGAAGGTACTTAACACCAACAGCGTAGTCATTGGGTTAGTCAGTGCTTGCTGACTAAGTGAAGAGAGAGCTCTAAATCCTACCTGTGGAGATGGGCAGGACTGGGCGGGTTTTACAGAAGACAAAGGGGTACTAGGACATTGAAAGAGGAGACAGAGTTTGTGAACTGATGGGGCAGGGGGCAGTCCCCAGCCACGGGAGTAACCAGAGAACAGGGAAGATCCACAAAATTCACCCGCGGTGGACTAACACCTTATACAACAGTCTGCTGTTTCCCAGGGCCCTCCAAAACATTCTGATCCAAAGGTGGGGATGGGGCCCTGGACCCAGGCACCCCAGGCACTCTGATGCAACTGGTTCTGGGGCACATTTTGGAATCACTGACCTAGAACCTGGCAATGGCACCCCTCCCCACTGGTACCATGTCTGGGTCGTTCCAGTGCCCAGGGCCAGCCGCCGGCTGCAGTATGTCCTGGTGCTCCACAAACCAGTCCAGGATGGAGAGCACACTCCCCCAGGAATCCTGGATGTCATCGTAGTTGCGCCATAGGTTGCAGATGTCAGCCAGCAGGGTGTAGTTCACCTGCAAGTGGAGAGAGGCCCAGCCAACACCAATCACACCCTGCTGCCATGAGGCCCTCCTGGGGACTGGGAGCAGAGGAGAGACACCAGTATGCGGAAGCCAAGAGACAGGGCCCCAGGGTATGAGAAGGCACGCCCTGCTTCAAGCTGTCAGGGGGCATTGCTGGTGCTACAAGCCTACCCCACTCTCCCATGCCAGCTGGGGTCAACGCACAACCCCACCCACTGCATACCCGCCTCCCTCCGGGGCGTCTTCAAGTCTGATCCTCCCCTTCTTAGAGTCAAATGTGCCAAAGGACTCTGGGCAGATGTCTGCAAGGCCCTCAGGGTCTTAATGCCTCCTAGCCCACTCAGTACACCCAAGGTTCTCATCACTTGCTGGGGACTTTGAAGGAGCACACATGCTTCCCCTGCCTTGGATGTCAGTCTTCTAGCCCACCCAACACAGACTTCTTGGCTGGGGTCCCCCTTTAGGGTACTGAAGACCCTCTTTCTCAATACCAACAAATCAACACTTGGGCTGAGAGGGGGAGTAGTCTTGACACCGTGGGGGCCTCCTTCCTGACATCTGGCAAGAGGTGGTGACGAGTTCTGGGTATAGGGAGCACTGCCAGGCAGGCCCATAGAATGACTTACCTTGGGGGGCAGGCCCCCCTCGTAAGCTGGCCAACTGCAGGAGAAAGCAATGGGGTGGCCTGTAGCATTCAGGGCAGCAGCCATCTTGGGGTACCCTGGAAAGCCCAAATCCCATGTTTCAGGATGGAAGGTCACAAGAGGCATCCTTGATAGGTCTCAGTCCAAACCCCTCACTGAGCTCAAGAAAACACAGGCTTAACAGATGCCCATACCCAGAGCCCCGTATTTTCTGGGTGGGTCACAGAACCATCCCATTTTCAGGGACCCTAGGAGCCAGAACCCCTCAAGTCTCAAGGTGAGAGAAACTGAGAAACACCCAGGCAGTGTTTCGTTCTGCTGTGCATAAGGTCGCTATGAGTCAGTGGGTAACGACTCAGTGGCACCTAATAACAACAACAAGCTCCCAGAGGCCAGAGGTAGACTAGGCTCAGTGAAGTGGGCATCATCCCTCCCTGTGTCCCTGATCAATTCCTGATTGATCCCCGATTGCCCCAGTCAGCCAGGGGACCCACCGCGAGCCCGCTCCTGGGGGGTGGAGTAACAGCCATCCAGTTTCAGCATGTCCACCTTCCACTTGGCGAAGGTTTCCGCATCCTGAGTCACCTTATCGAGCGTGGTGCCTGGGTAACCCATGCAGGTAAAGCTGCCCAGGTCGGCGTAGATGCCCAGTTTCAGGCCCAGGGAGTGAGCCTGTGGGAGGTTGAAGAGAAACGGTGGTCACGGGCAAGGACCCTCAGGGTCAGGCCCGTTAAACCTCCAAAGGCTCCACACTGCCCAAAGGAGGGTCCCAGCTTGCAGGCCTGGCTTGGCCCTGCCCGGTCCCCGCACACTCCACCCAGGAGCTGTTTCTTCCCTCTGGGCCTTGACTACCATCATCCCCCTGCCTCAAAAGCAGCCTCTCTGGGTTCAACTCATGGACCGCCTCCCCCAGGAAGGCCTCCAGAAATTCCAGGCTGGGTAAGATGCTCTTCCTGGCTCTCACCCACCACAATGGGACCAACATCCACCTGTCTGTTCCCCACCACAGCCTGTGGCTCACATAGTCAGCCAGGTGGGCAATGCCATTGGGGAAGCGCTTGGGATCGGCCACTAAGTTGCCTTTGTCATCACGTCCGGTCATCCAACAGTCATCAATATTGAGGTATGTGTAGCCCAGGTTCCGCCACCCATCCTGTGCCAGCCGGTCAGCCATCTCCATGAAGAGCCGCTCACTGTCCAGGAGGGAGGGAGGGGACTGCTCAGTGCCCAGCTCGGTCTCCCCACCTCACAGCATGTCGGAGGTGGACTCTAAGGGTGAGTCCTTGCTGGTGCTGGAGTGACTGGGATGGGCTGCCCTTCCAGCTGTCTTCCAGTGATTATCACAGGGGTTGGGTCCACCCACAGAAGCCTCAGGCAGGTCATGGGACTGACTGGCTGTTGGACCTCCCAGAAGACACCTGACTAGCCTCAGGTAGACAGCTGCAGCTATACCCTCTTTTTTAGCTGACGCTCCACTCCCGCCCTACCCTGCAGGCCCCTCAGGCTCAGTGGGGGTCTTACCTGATGCAGTTCTTAGGGTCCTCTTGACAGTCAATATTGCAGCGGAAGCGTTCCCAGGCCAGCCAGCCCATGGGTGGCGTTGATAGAAGCCCATTGTCCAGTGCCAGCGTCTGGGTCGTGAAGACCAGCAAGGGCACTGCCAGCCACATGGGGGGGGAGGAGGTGACTCTGTGTAAGGGGCTCCTCAAGGGCCCCGGCCCTCACCCCACCCTGAAGACATTGCCTGCTGGCACATTAGGGGAATCAGAATCTTGGCTTGAGACAGAACTGGCTCGAACAGGGCAGAAAGTGGAAACGTCTGGAACCAAGTGATGGGTCTGCTCCCTGACTCCCCATGGGCAGGGCCACTGCAATGTTGCTAGCAAAGACTAACACCTGAGATCACATCTCCCCCTGACCAGCTCCCAGACCCCTAGACACATATTCTGGCCAATGCCTTCTCCTGGGGCCTCAGTTTCCTTATCTGTACAGGGCTGTTCTCAACAGGGTCACTATACATAGGATAGGGTCTCCGCGCTTTGGGGGAACTGATTCCTGGAAGGAAGTACCTCCCTTCCTCCTTTTGGCTCCAATTTTAAGGAACAAGCCTCCCCACTAGATACTGAAAGATGAAAAGTTTCTCCAGATAGCCCCCAGCGGCCCCCGCAGTCTCACTACCTGTCAGCAGCAGCATTGCTCCGGGACTGTCGCAGGTCTTTCACCAGCTTCCTGTGTTGGCCTTTGGGTGCTGAGAAACGTTGGCAAAGCACTGGAGTCGTGACAGGCTGGGTGGCACTGCCGCCTTTGACTCTCACGCGGCCCTGAGTGGCCTCACTACCCCACCCACTTCCCGGAGTCTAGATCTTCACAAACACCAAGCAAGGGGTCTTTGGGTGTTAGACCTCACCCTCCCTGCGGTGTGGAGAGCCCTCCGCCCGGCCAGAGAGGGCTACAGCCGGTCCGAGGCCGCCCAGCAGAGACGGAGGCGCGGGGTTAGGATTAGGCTCCGATCTCTCCCACTCTCCCACCCCCCAACACGGGCCCGAGCTCCCGACCCTGGTCTCCGAAGGCAGCAGGCCTAGCGTCCCGGCGCGGGGAGTCCCCAGCCCGCTGTACTAACCTTCCCACTGGCTCAGAGCTGCCGCCGCTTCCGACTCCCGCGCGGGTGACGGCTCGCTCAGTCACCTGATTCGCGAAACGCTTTCCATGGGAGGCGAGGCCTTACGCCAACAAACCTTCCGGGTGGAACCTATCAGAACGTCCCAAGCAACGTCTTGCCCTGTCCCCCAAGTACCGAATTCTCACAGTGCCCCGCCCCCTCCGGACCTCCCAATGCACCGCCCCTCGGAGCCTTCCAATGTACCGCCCTTCCGAACTTTCCAGGGTACCGCCCCCTCCGGGCCTCCCAATGCCCCGCCCTCCCGAACTTCCCAGTGTACCGCCCCCTCCGGGCCTCCCAATGCACCGCCCCTCGGAGCCTTCCAATGCCCTGCCCTTCCGAACTTTCACGTGTGCCGCACCTTTGGGCACCGGAGCAGAGAACGATGTCGTCTGTGCTCTGGTTACGCATCTTGGCAAGGTTCATGAGGACAGGGATGGTGTCTGGAACACGGTAGGCACTCAGTACATATCTGTGGAATGAATACCGAAGGTTTTGTTTGGAAGAAATGAGATAATATCCAGAAACATGGTTCATAGTACACCGTTTAAAAACGCTAAAACCCATTCTGATGGAAGTGATTCCCACTTAGAAAGAACCTGTAGGACAGAGTAGAACTGCCCCAGATTTCCCAAAGGAAGCAGCAGACAAGAAATCAAATGACATATTGCATTAGGCAAATCTGCTGCACAAGACCTTTGTAAAGTGTTGAAGAGCAAAGATGTCAGCTTCAGGACTAAGGTGCACCTGACCCAAGCCATGGCATTTTCAATAACCTCATATGCATGCGAAAGCTGGACAGTGAATAAGGAAGACCGTAGAAGAACTGATGCTTTTGAGTTGTGGTGTTGGAGGAGAATACTGAAAGTGCCATAGGCTGCCAAAAGAACTAACAGATCTGTGTTGGAAGAAGTGCAGCCAGAGTGCTCCTTGGAGGCCAAGATGGCCAAACTTTGTCTCTCATACTTTGGACATATTGTCAGAAGGGACCAGTCACTGGAGAAGGATACCATGTTTGGTAAGGTGGAGGGTCAGAGAAAAAGAAGAAGACCCCCAGCGAAATGGATTGGCACTATGGTAGCATCAGTAGGCTCAAGCGTGGTAGCAATTGTGATGTTGGCCCAGGACCAGGCAGTGTTTCAGTCTGTTGTGCACAGTGCTGCTATGAGTCGGTCCTGACTCCATGGCGCCTAACAACAGCAATGGTAGCAGACTGCCATATCTTTCTCCCACAGCTGATGGTTTCAAACCACCAACCTTTAGGTCAGTAGCCAAGCTCTTTAACCACTGTACCACCAGGGTGCCTTTCAGAAGTTTTAGTGAAAGATAATAAATACCATGGGAAGGTGCGGACAAGCAGCCTGGATGGTAGACAGCTCCTGATCTGACACTCAGCCATCTGTTACCTGGTAAGGGACTACTCACCCAGGGGCTCTGTGGATTCTTCCCCTTATTCATACATCAAACATTTATAGATGAACTACTTGTGCCAAATGCTTTATGCTAGCCACTGGGCATCTCAAACATAAAAAGCTCCCAAACCAATAAACTGGTTTATTGTCTATTAACACCTGCCAGTTTCTCTGACTCTATGAATACCAATTCTCCTTCCAGGCTCTGAGGTGAGAAACCTCAGAGCTGTCCCACACCACCATATCCATCCCAAAGTGAACCCTGTGCTCTCTGCACAGGATATCTTTCTTTAAACAGACAATAAACACATGAATGCAGGGTGGAAACTTCAAGTCCCTAGTTGGAATACTGAAGGAGTCTATCAATGGAATCCTCCAATCCTGATGAAATGCTTTTCTTCATATAATCCAGCTTCTCAGATTATTTGCTCAGCATACAGATTGAGTAAATATGATGAAAGAATACAATCCTGGTGCATACCTTTCCTAATTTTAAACCATTTGGTGTTCCCTTGTTCTATTCTAACAACTGCCTCTTGGTCCATGTACGGTTTCCTCATGAGCACGACTAAGTGTTTCGAAATACTCATTTTTTGCAATGTTGTCCATAGCTTGCCATGATCCACACAATCTAAAGCCTTTACATAGTCAATAAAGCACAGGTAAACATCTTTCTGGTATTCTGTGTTTTCAGCCAAGATCTAACTGATGTCAGTAATGATGCTTCTCGTTCCACGGCTTCTTCTGAATCCAGCTTGAACTTTTGGAAGTTCTCTGTCAATGTATGTTTGCAGTCATTTTTGTATTATCTTTAATCAAACTTTACTCGCATGGGCTATCAATAATATTGTCAACCTGCAATATACAGATGCTACAACCTTGTTTGCTGAATGCCAAGAGGACTTAAAATACTTACTGATGAAAGTCAAAGACCACAGCCTTCGGTGTGGATTACATCTCAACGTAAAGAAAACAAAAATCCTCACCACTGGACCAATAAACAACATCCATATCAATGGAGAAAAGATTGAAGTTAGCAAAGACTTCATTTTGCTCAGATCAATCATCAACACTCACAGAAGCAGCAGTCAAGAAATCAAACAACGTATTGCATTAGGCAAATCTGCTTCACAAGACCTTTTTAAAGTGTTGAACAGCAAAGATGTCAACTTGAGGACTAAGGTGCACCTGACCCAAGCCTTAGTATTTTCAGTAACCTCATATGCATGCGAAAGCTGGACAGTGAATAAGGAAGACTGTAGAAGAACTGATGCTTTTGAGTTTTGGTGTTGGAGAAGAATATTGAAAGTGCCATGGGCTGCCAAAAGAACCAACAGATCTGTGTTGGAAGAAGTGCAGCCAGAGTGCTCCTTGGAAGCCAGGATGGTCAGACTTCGACTCATACTTCAAACATATTGTCAGGAGGGACCAGTCACTGAAGAAGGATATCATGTTTGGTAAAGTGGAGGGCCAGTGAAAAAGAGGAAGACCCCCCAACGAGATGGATTGGCACAGTGGCAGCAGCAATGAGTTCAGGCGTAGCATGATTATGTAGTTGGCCCAGGACTGGGCAGTGTTTCATTTGGTTGTGCATAGGGTCACTATGAGTTGGTACCGACTCAATGGCACCTAACAACAGCAACAACATGAAGTCCTGGTGTGGCGCTGTAAGATAAGCACTGGACTACTAATAACCACAAGGGTGGTGGTATCACAGATATATGTACTGAGTGCCTACTGTGTGCCAGGCACCATCCCTGCCCTCAAATTGATCCTGAATCAGACTCTCCGTGCTCCCAACTCAGTCCAGCTCCGACATCTAGTGCTTCTACCTACATTTGTTCTCTCCACACCAGCCAGGGTGAATCCTTCAACGCTAACAGCTCAGGTGACTCTCTGCTCCAACACTCTGCAATAGCTGCTCATCTCATTTTGGAATAAAAGTTCCCCCACATAGCCTGACCTCCCACCTCCTCACTGCCTCCCAGCCACACTGGCCACCTAGCAGTTCCTCAAACTCGGAGGCATAGGTCTGCCTCAGGGTCTTTGTACTAGTGCCTTCTGCTGGGAGGCTGTTTATCCGGACAAATCAGCGTGGCTGGTTCCAATACTCCTTTAAGTATTTGTCAAATATCGCCTTTAAATTAGGCCTACCATGACCGCTTTGTTGAAACACGCAGCCTTCTCACTCTCACAATTCCCAATCTGCCTTACCTTGCTTCATGGTTTTCCACAAATCAAAGACCACTGAGATGGTACAGAACCTGGAAATGTTCCCTTCTGATAGACATAGGTCGCCATCAGCTGTAGCCTACTGATGGCACTAGCAGTAGCACCAACTATTACTCTCTATAGATCCGTGTTGGAAGAAGTGCAGCCAGAGTGCTCCTTAGAGGCCAAGATGGCCAAACTTCGTCTCTCATACTTTGGACATATTGTCAGAAGGGAACAGT